CCAGTCATTCATCATGAGTCTTTCCAAACAGTTACAGTCTGAACGCAGTTTCATCCATTAAACACTAAAATTTGATATGTTTTACCCATTAAGTGTGAAAATGCCCAACTCTTGTGGTCTAGAGTAGAAAATAAGGTACTTTTTCAAAGGCTAGGATATGTAGCTCAGTTGGTAGAGTGCTCACCTAGCATGTATGAGACTTGTACATCATAAAAAGTAAGGCACATGACCCGTGATCCCAGCGTCTGGGGGTGCCAGCCAGATGGTCAGAAAGTCAAGGTCATCCTTGACTGAGCACCCCGATTCACTGAATAGGTGGAAGAACAAGTGAGGATAATTCCCCATGACATTTTGGACCTCCACGTGCACATGTGCCATGTGCACATGAACCCACCCACCTACACATATGCATATGTGCACATCTCACACATGAAATGGGGGGAAATTATGTTTATCTGGCCCCAAATTTCCTCTTATGGCTCTTTGCCACTTTGATTTTTTAGTACATTGACCTTTGTGCCTATTTCTCTGTAGGCACCAGCCTGGAAGCTGAGCTACAGCAGATGATAAGTTAAATGAATACTATTCCCCTCAGCTGCATAGTCTTGAGACTGACCTAAACACAGTGTATGTGTCTATCAACATATTTGTTGTTAATCACTCTGTCTGGAGACAAATGCTCACATATCTTCTAACATCCTCATCCAATAAAAATGTTGCTTTTTTAGCCCATAAGAAAACAGTGTCCATACAAAGCAATGCAGTTGTATCTAACAGCCAGTTGAGTTATATTCTCAAAGTCACATGCTGTGCAGGCCACACTGCAGCAGAACCAAACGGCGCTTTGCTTCATTTCAGGACCAATACTTTCTTTCCTGCTTTCTTTCTTTCTTTCTTTCTTTCTTTCTTTCTTTCTTTCTTTCTTTCTTTCTTTCTCTCTCTCTCTCTCTCTCTTTCTTTCTTTTTTTCTTTCTCTCATTCTTCCTTCCTTCCTTTCTTTCAGAAATGTATTTGTCTGGATGTTTTGCCTGCATGTATGCATGTGCACCATATGTGGGCCAGGTGCCCACAGAAGCCAGAAGAAGGCATCAGATAAATCCTCTGGAACTGGAGTTACTGCCATGTGGATGCTAGAAATCGAACCCTGGCCTTTTGGAAGAGTAGCCAGTGCTCTTAAGCACTGAGCAATCTCTCCATCCCCTAGAATCCATTCTTATTGATTTTATTTTTATGGGAGTGTTTCTGGACAGCACCCAAAGTTCAACTTAAATTTCTTCCCTGAGGTGAGCCAAGATGCCAAGTTGAAACGTTGAGGTAGTAAGAATACAAAACCAGAACCTGATAGTCCTAAATTCTGGCACCCCTCTCTGTGGCCAGTTAGTGGCCTGGTCTTGAGTCATGCACATGACTAATTTACATGCACCCACCTTCATAAAGCACAAAAGCTGCCAGGTGCTGGGAGTCCACCTCATCTTAACTCTTGCGTGGACTGGAGCTCTACTCTACGCTTTTGGTCCGACTGCCTCTGGCGGCAGGATTGCTGCTCTTTGCCCTGCAGCCACTTCCGTTATCTGACGGTCTTTCTCAAATAACTGGACCCCCTTGTAAGGTCTCTTCCCCCACCTTTTTCTTCTTCTTCCTCTTTTTTTAATAGTACTTGTAGTTGAAAATGTTAGTCCTCTTTGGCTCTTCCTTTGCCTTCACCCTTTTATGGCTAACATACCGAACACCAAACGTATCCAAGCTCAGGGAGGGGCCGTGCTATGCGCGGAGGGGCCGTGCTATGCGCTTAGTTTTTGTGAGTTCCTTTCCCTTTCTACCTCTGGTCTGAAGGGCTCGTCACCGCTGTGTGCCTACCCTCTCTCCTGGGTCTTATGGATCCTGTATAATGTTGTCCATCCGATCTTGGTATGCTGTTCATTTCCCTCCATCTTTTCTCAGTTAGGAAATCCCAGTCGTTCTCCTGGATCCTGACACTTGCTCTCCCTAGCTTAGTATCAGACCTCTAATTTGACTAGTCCACCACCCCAGCGTCTCTCGCTTTCCCCCATATACGAGCTATTCTAGCAAGTTTATCCTAAATGACTGCATTTCCTGTTTTCTACAAGACAGCTTGTCGTTGAACTTGCTGTTGTCTGCCCCCCTCCCCTTTCCCTGAGACCTGGCCCCTTGCTGGCTCACAGGGGCACAGTCACCATGCGTTGACCTCAGCGACTACTTACTCTTTGTATATAAAAACTTTCAGTTGACTGATTTTTTTTCATTTTTGTTTTTTGTTTTTTGAGACAAAGTCTTACTCCACAGCCTCAGATGACCTAAACCCACTATGAGCCCAGGCTAGCTTCCAACTCCCAGCAGTTCCCCTCCCAAGTGCCAAGCTTAGTCTTGAGCTAATTTACCCAGCTCAGTTGAATAATTTCTAAAATGTTCCCTGGCTCTGAAACCTTCAGAAACAAGAGGGGGGAAAAAAGATCAAATTGCTGGCAGTGGAAGAAAAAGTACCAAGAGGGCAAATGTCAGACCGTGACTTGTTAAAAGAGGAGGACGGGAATAAGCAGCTACCACCAGAGACGAGGTGGTCCATGGTGCCACCCCAGGCTGCCTCGAGCTCCCAGGATGCTCTTGAACTTCTGATCTTCTTCCCCCAACTGAGTCCTCGGATTACAGGTGATTTTTATGTGATGCTGAGGATAAAACCCAGAGCTCCAGTATGCTAAGTACTCTACAAAGGTTTACTAAGCTGAGTTACATCCGTTGTTTTTCTGGATACTTCAGATAGGTTGGGTATAATAAACCCTGGGCTGGATGTAGTGGTGCAGACCTGTAATCCCAGATCTTAGGAGGCAGAGGCAAGTAGATGTTTATGGGTTCAAGGCCAGCTTGGTCTACATACTGAGTTCTAGACCAGGGCTTTGTCTCAAGCAAAAAGAAAAACAAACAAACAAACAACAACAACAAAAACACCAACATAAAAGAATTCCATAACTTTCTGGGTTACTAGCCTGAATAATAGCATACCCTATGAGACCAGTCTATTAAATATAAGAACCACACAGGAGGATTACTTCGTTTTTAAGAATTAAATTCTTGTATTTTAGTGTGTGTGTGTGTGTGTGTGTGTGTGTGTGTGTTTACCTACCTGTGAGCATACCACAGAAGACAACTTATAGGAGTCTTGTCTCTCCTTCTATCATACAAGTTCCAGGGGTCGAACTCAGGTCTTTAGTAGCAGAGCGGCACCTTTACCCCTGAACCATCTCATGGGCCCCTGTAGGGTTTCTTTAGGATTCATTCTTCAAATAGCCCCCAGGTAACGAAAGACTAACAGTTCAGCTGGGGCAGGTCACACTCAGTGATCAGCCGTTCGAGAAGCACGTGGAGCAGACACCTTCTGATCTTCTGCTTGGAGTCCGGGTGCTGTCTGGAGCTGAGGGCGTGGTGGGGTCTGTTAATATAGTGCCTGTGCGGTAGTAATAGTACTAGGAAAGTCATGACTAGCAGGCGAAAACAGCATTGCTTGGATAGAATCCTCATGTCAGGGACTAAAGAACACTGCAGAATCTCAGACGGTAACAGGCTGTGGCAAGGAACCTCCAAGCGCGTTTCACAGACCCAGCCGAACGACACTGCTCACGGCTCTACTTCTCTAGACATGGCATAAGGAATTTTCAGGCAAATTTCTGCCAAGTAGTTTACTTGTCCATGGCGAACTGCCTTGGGCCAGAAGTAAAGAGCACTCCTGACTGTGGGCTGCCTTGAAGTCCTGGCGTTTGATTAGCCACTTGCCTTCAAGTTCACAAGCGGGACGGAAGCTGTGAATATTCAGTTCTGTGGTTACCTTATGAGATTGTATGACAACATATCTGTGAGAGAGAAAAGAAAGATAAGGTGGCAAGGATACACATGGTGTGAATGTCTAGGAAGCTGGACAGAGGTAAGCTGAGACTGGGAAAGCCGAGAGGGAAGGGAACTGAGGAGACTGTAGGGCAGCGTGCGGTCTCCCACACTGGCTCAGTAGAACAGCTGGGACGTCCCAGCATCTCTGAGTGCTGTCCTTGGTCTGATTTTGGCAAAGGTCAGTAATGAGGTCAGAGAACTTGGGTTAGTTTCAGACTGAGGTGAGGGCTTTGTCAGGAACTTGTAGAAGGTATAGTACAGTATAGTATAGTATAGTATAGTATAGTATAGTATAGTATAGTATAGTATAAGGATTCTCTTCTAAAAGGAGACTATGGCTCTGACAGTCTACAGGAATACCCTGGGCTCTCATTCCAAATCTCTGGATCTCAGAGTATCACCCATGACATCAAGTGCCCACAGGCCTGGGAAGCCTCACTCTTTACCGCTGACCCTAGGGTTTACTCCAGGGAGAACTCGGATGTGCGGAGGGTCTCAAGATAAATGCCCTCAGTCCATATTTTACCACAACTATTTCTTTATCAGCAGTATGCTAATAAAAGTAAGTTTTTAAAATTTATTAATTTATTGTGTTAGGGATCTAAATTTGGGACCTCACACGTTAGGCAGGTACTTTGCTACTGAGTTAGCTATTGGCTCAGCTCAAAAGAAATCCCTTAAAGCATTGTTTTTCATGGAAAATAAAAGCTCATCATGGAGTATATTGATAAATCAATTTTTTTAATTTTAAGTATTTTTACTTTGGAATATTTCAAATTTAAGCATAAGTTACAGAGGTGGTATACAAATTCCTCTACATACTTCACCCAGATGTTTCCCATTGTTCACATATCTGAGCTATGCAAAAAGAAGTTCCTAACATAGTGCCCACTGTCTCTTCAAACTTCAGTGACGGCTGCCTGGCATTTTTCACGGGTCCGGAGCCGGCCGCAGACTCTCCTCTCCGCTGCGCGGTCCGCCTGCAGAGTCCGAGCTGCAGCCGCACAAGTTATAACCAGACATGCTTTCAGAAAGTTTCTCCCGCTCTTTGTCAGAGTGCTGGTTGAAAGGTGTGCCGCCGAAACCATGACCAAAGGTGGCATGATGCTTCCGGAGAGTCTCAAGGAAAAGGATTGCAAGCCACAGTAGTGGCTGTGGGATCGGGCGCCAAAGGACAAGGTGGAGAGATTCAGCCAGTCAGTGTGAAAGTCGGAGACAAAGTCTTCTCCCGGAATACGGAGGCACCAAAGTAGTCTAGACGACAAGAGATGGTGACGTTCTTGGAAAGTATATGGACTCAAATCATTGCTGAAATGGTGTCACATGAAGCTGCCCATTCGGCTGATGGTCTGAACTATTATTCATCATGTAAATAATTTCCATGCCTCCCTTTTGTTTTGTTTTGTTTTGTTTTTCGAGACAGGGTTTCTTTGTGTAGATTTGCGCCTTTCCTGGAACTCACTCTATAGCCCAGGCTGGCCTCGAACTCACGGAGATCTGCCGGCCTCTGCCTCCTGAGTGCTGGGATTAAAGGCGTGCGCCACCACCGCTCGGCCCATGCCTCCCTTTTATAACAAATTGATGATGCCTTAATAAAAACAACAAACAAAAAAACCAACCAAACAAACAAAACAACTTCAGTGACTATCTGCTAATGACAAGTACCTTTGCCGTCCTGGCCACAGTGCAGCCAACAAGACTGGGAAATGAGCAGTCAATCTACTATTATAACAAGTGAATTTTAAGACAGTATATATGATTTCCACATACCGCCTATCTCTAAATATTAGTTAAGAAGGGGACTTCAGAGAAAGCCCAGGCTTGTCAGGTACACGTTAGGAGTTTGAAATAATTCTCTTCTGCTCTTTCTGTACTTAAGGGAAAACTCTAGGCATCATTGTTCTACCCTACTTGACCGTGAAAACCCACCCAACTTTAAATGTGCCAACTTAAAAACAGATACTGGGTTGACAAAAACGACCCACCTACCCCGACCCCTACAAACAATTAATAAGTACATATTTAACAAAAAATGTAGACATTTACTATAGATGCTTCAGGATGTCATAGGCTCATCTGGAGTGCCACCAGACAGGACCTTTGTGATGTGTCCCCTGTCTTTGAACAGCTAATGGAGGTGCAGGCCTTTGCTCTGGCTGAATGTCTTTATTTATGTCTCCAATGGCATGGCCAGGGGCATGCTTGACCAGTTGGCTGACAAGTCCTTGGGTACCAATTCCCCTACCTGAATGACAAAACGCAAGCAGGGATGCATACATGTCAGCAACATGGGCATTCAATATACCCTCCTGGATAAATACATTTTTGTCTCAAATCCAGGAGTCTGTTTATTCACAGGTTGATTTTTGCCAAGCCTATGTACTGTGAATTAGACACTTGAAAATGCTTGAGATCCATTTAAGATTACTAGTTAGAGTGCTAGCTTGATGCCACTGGACTGGTTGAAAAAAGAAAGAGAGAGAGAAAGGAAGAAAAGAAAGGAAAGAAAGAAAGAAGAAAGAAAGAAAGAAAAGAAAGAGAAAGAAAGAGAGAAAGAAAAGAAAGGAGGGAGAGAGGAAGAAAAAGAAAATCTGAGTTCTTGCCCCAATTACCTGTATGATCGTGGGCACATGTCTAAGACATCTGTGCCTTACTTTTCTGGCATCAACCTCTCACCTCCACAGGCATTCCCACACACATGTACCCACACACATGTGAACATAATTGCACATCACCCTGCACACTCCTAAAGATTTTTTTTACAACACAGCTTTTCTATAGTTTGAAGTAATATTTCACTGTAGCCTAGTGTGGCCTTGAATTTGCAGTGATCCTACTAAGGACTGGGATTACAGGTATGCTCAACAAAATTGTTGATTCCCCCGACACACACACCAATTAGATGCATCCTTCCAACTCTGATAATTTACCTTACCTGGAGGAAATAAAGTTCTTTTTGTCTGACCTTGAACTTTACCTGCTTTTGTCTGGGAGCCTTTTAAAAATAAGATTTACTTTTTATTTTACGTGTATGAGTGTTTATGAGTGTCTTGTCTGTACACATGTATGTGTACCATAGGTGTTCCTGCCAACGGAGGAGGCTGGAAGAAGGTGCCAGATGTACTGGAACTGGAGTTACAGATGGTTGTGAGCCACCCTGTGGGTGATGGAACTGAACCCCGGTCCTCTGGAAGAGCAGTCGAACCATCTCTCCAGCCCCCATGGGACCCTTTTTGGCAGCAGGAAGATGAGGAGTTTGGCTTTACTTTGCTTGCATCCTTTGTTCTTCTGCCATCGAAGTCAATCGTGCTCACAGATCTGACCACTCAGCATCTGACCCCACAGCAGTAAGTATCAATATTAACAATACCTCTCAGACTTGCCCTGCATGCTAGCCACTGCTGCCTAGCCACTTTGAATTCACGTGATTCTGGGGTTTTTTGGATGCATCTTTGTATGGATGTTTCCTACTTACTTCCCTAGGTTGAGAGGGATTTCTACCAGAGCGTATTTCTGTCATGGCAGACATCTTTTCTTTCCTCTCATATAAATGATCATTAGCAAGGGGGCTTCCTAATGCTTCTGTGTCTCCATGGCTATCCGAAGCTTATTGGATTGAATGACCTCATTGCTAGGAAAGTTGGCTCACCCTAGCTCCACTATTAAGTTCATTTATTTACTGGATTCCACTTCTGTTCCTTAGATCCAGGTTTCCAGACTCCTGAAAGCCATGTGCAGTGATGGGCAGTTCTCGCCTGGACATCCCTTCTCCCTCGTCACCCTCGGCAACAGAAATCTTGAGTGACTAACCAGTCTTTTTCTCTAATTTTTCCACTCCCCCTCCTCATTTTTTTGAAAGGTTCTACATTTTATTACTGGACAAACCACTCTCCCAATTTAAACAGGACCAAGTCTCCAGGTTAAAAACGCTGAACTCCATCCATGACTCAGTACAAACACCCAGTCTTGCCATTGTGTGAATCCAGCTTTGTTCTCCTCCAGTGTCTTCTCTTAGAGTTGTACCTGATTTTGTTACCAGTTTTCATTCGAATCCACCGAGGAACAGGATGATTTTGCTTTTGATTCATGGCCAGGAATCGCTTGATTCTGGAAGTCTTGTGTGGCGAGAAGTTGAGTCTCCCCGGCCCCGCCCCCATCCTTTGACTTTCAAGTAGTAATGTGTCAGGTTTCCACCAGCCTGGGCTTTTGGCCTTACTATCAGATTAGACCTCAGTTTTGGCTTTTAGGAAGCTGAAAGGTCATATGCCTCTCCTATTGTTCCTGGCATTCCGAAATGTACTGTGATCAAATGGGTTGTTCCTGTCAAGCCCTACAGAGCTGCCAGGAAGAAGAATCAGGCAAGTCCTCGCATTTACTGTAGCTCATCTTTCTCTGTCCCACCAGCCAGCTCCCAAATCCTGACACAGAGACTTCTTATTAGTTATGGAAGCTTGACCTTAGCTTAGGCTTGTTTTTAACTAGCTCTTTTAACTTAAATCAACCCATTTCTACTAATCTATGTGCAGCCACCCGGCTTGTTACACGCCCCCCCTCCCCGCATGTCTTGCTTGTTCCCATCCCTCGCGTCTCCACCTTCTTCTTCCCAGCATCCTCTCTGCCCCCAAAATCCTGCCTAGCTATTAGTTGTTCAGCATTTTATTAAAAACCAATCCGAGTGACACATCTTCACAGTGTACAAAATGGTTATTCCACAACAATTTACTACCGATACCAAGGTGGTCCCAAACATGGGTGCACATCTTCCATGTATCTGTGAGAGAAAAATTTTCCTATTAACTTATAAAATGTTGAAAGTGCACCCTGGCATGATGGCTCATACCGGTAATCCCAGAATTTTGGAGGCTGGGGTGAGATTGCCAGGGGTCCCAGGCCAGCCTGGGCTGCATAGTGAGTTCCAGGCCAGCCTGAACTACGCGCAGAGTGAGATCCTGTCTCAAATAAACAAACAAAAAGAAATTAGAAATGTTAAAATTCTATGTTGTTGGTATTTTGGCTCTTTTGGTGGGGGGGGGGGGCCTACCGCCCAGCTCCCAAATAAATCACACAGGGAGGCTTATTCTTACTTATGAATGCCTGGCCTTAGCTTGGCTTAGTTTCTAGTCAGCTTAACTTTAAATTATCCTGTCTACCTTTTGCCTCTGGGCTTTTCCTGTTCTCTTACTTCTGTAAGTCTTACTCTTACTCCGTGGCTGGCTGTGTGGTTGGGTGGTTGGCCCCGGAGGCCTCCTTCTTCTCTGGCTCCTTTTTTTTCTTCTCTGCTCCCAGATTTCTCCCTCTCTATATTTTCTCTGTGTGCCAGCCCCGCCTATCCTTTCTCCTGCTTTACTATTGGCCGTTCAGCTTTTTATTAGACCATCAGATGTTTTAGACAGGCACAGTAACACAACTTCACAGAGGTAAACAAATGCAGCATAAACAAAAGTAACACACCTTAAAAGAACATTCTACAATACAAGTATGCCTGTATATTTATTATAAAAATTTTAATAATTAATAACTGCAAAAGCTTACACTGGTGTCTATAAAATGATTATTAAATTTCTTCTACATAGTTAAAAAGCAGGAAAATTAGCTGACAGGCAAGATGTGTATTAGGAAGCTGAGCACTGTGGCAAAGACCTTTAATCCCAGCATTCAGGCGGCAGAGACAGGCAGATCTCTGAATTTGAGGCCAGCCTGGTCTACAAAGCGAGTTCCAGTATAGTCAGGGCTACACTGAGAAACCCTGTTTCGAGGAGAGGAGCGTGGTAATGGGAGAAATTAAGTATCAGGAGAAGCTGCATGAGCTGGAGAATCTTAGAAGAACTGTATTTATTTGCAATTTAGTAATATAATAAAAATATTATCTAACAAATAATACAAATCAAAAGAATATAAATTAAACTATAGTCTACCTGTGATTTAATTATGCAATACTCATAGGAATTTATTGCTGTATTAACAATCATCATGTAAATAAAAACATCCCTAAAAACTGTCTCTTGGAGCCATGCGGTGGTGGCGCACGCCTTTAATCCCAGCACTCGGGAGGCAGAGCCAGGCGGATCTCTTTGAGTTCAAGGCCAGCCTGGGCTACAGAATGAGTTCCAGGAAAGGTGCAAAGCTACACAGAGAAATCCTGTCTTGAAAAACAAGACAAAACAAAACTATCTCTTGGAAGGTTCCAGGAAGAATAAAGTATAACTTTATGACACAGTGAAGTACACACAAATCCCAAGTCCATAGTTTTCACACAGTAAACATATTCAGATGACAACAGAGCTTTCCCCACCCTCTCGGAAAGCACCCATGCTTCCTGTTCTTCCCCAAGGGGTGGCAACACAAATTTCTTGAAAACTGTTTTGTTCGTGTTTTGAGATAGGGTCTCACTTTGTAGATCAAGTTATTCATTCTGGAACTCACGTGTAGCCCAGGCTAGCCTTGACCTCTCAGCTGCTTCTGAGCTCCTCCTGCCTTTGACTCTGAGTACTGGAATTAAAGGGATGAGCTACTCTGCCCACTTTTAAGCAGGCCCCCTTTCCTTCCCCATACGTGTTCTCATCCTCCTCCTTTTTCTCCCTGCACCCCATCAAACCCACAGCTTCCTTCTGTGTAGCCAAAGACTCTGCCATTGAGCCTGCTTTTGAACTTCTTTTCTTGTTTTTAAAGATTCATTTTTATTTATTATGTAAACAGTGTTCTTTCTGCAAGTCTGCTGTATGCCAGAAGAGGGCATCAGATCTCATTATAGATGGTTGTCAGCCACCATGTGGTTGCTGGGAATTGAACTCAGGACCTCTGGAAGAGCAGACAGTGCTCTTAACCTCTGAGCCGTCTCTCCAGCCCTGAACTTCTTTTTTATTTTTTATTTTTTTGAGACACGGTTTCTCTGTGTATCTCTGGCTGGCCTCAAACTCACTCTATAGACCAGGCTGGCCTTGAACTCAGAGATCTGCCTGCCTTTGCCTCCCAAGTGCTGGGATTAAAGGGATGTGCCACCACTTTCTGGCAGAACTTCTAGGATTTTGTATTACTTAGGGAGTTGAAGTGGGCTTTTCTTTTTTCTTTTTCTTCCTCCTCCTCTTCCTCCTCCTCCTCCTCCTCCTCCTCTTCCTCCTCCTCCTCCTCTTCTTCCTCCTCCTCCTCCTCCTCCTCCTCCTCCTCCTCTTCTTCATCTTCAAGATTTACTTATTATGTAAACAGTGTTATGACTGCAGGCCAGAAGAGGGCACCAGATCTCATTACAGATGGTTGTGAGCCACCATGTGGTTGCTAGGAATTGAATTCAGGACCTCTGGAAGAACAGCCAATGCTCTTAACCTCTGAGCCATCTCTCCAGCCTGGGAGCTGGTCTTTTCAGAAAGCAAAAACAACTAGAAATCGGTTTCATTTGGGAAGAAGCACTAAAGGTGTAATTTTAGTTACTTCAAATTTTTGTGGGGAAGATGTTTATCTCCAAACCACTAACAGCCACCAGAACTCACCAGCAGTGCGACTGGAATGGCTCAGCCTGACAACTGAGTTCAGTCTTTGGGACACACACCGTGGCAGGGGAGAACCAACTGTAACTTGTCTCCTGACCTCCACATGTGCGCGTGGTAGGCCCCTACCACCCCATACCCAAGAAGCTTTTAAGACACTTCACAAATAAAAAATACAAAAAACTGTGAAAAAAATAAATAAATTCAGGTGCCTCTCAGTGTTTGCCTTTCTATGCATCTCAGTTAAAAATTATTTATTTAGAATAAATATATAATGGGCTGAGGAATGTATGTAACTCAGTGGTAGAATGCTTGTTGAGCGTGTACGAGTCTCTAGGTTCAATTCCCAGTAACACACACACACACACACACACACACACACACACACACACACAAAGTAAATGCATCCATGTCGAGCATGGTGACCAGAGGAGTTCTGAATTATGAATTATGATTTTGAGTAAGAGTTTATATATTTTTTGAGTGTTGAGTCACAACAGGATGGCAGTGTTCTATCCTCAGGAAGTGGTGTTTTTACTCAGTTGTCTGCTCTTTGGTTACAGTGTGTGTTTGCTGTGTCTCTCTTTTCCAGCCTCACAAGGGCCCACTCAGCCACTTACCGGTGTACTCTCCCTGCTGTAGCTCCCCTCCTTAATACTTTCACTCAGACAGTAACCGGGGATTGAATGCAGGTTTTCACACAGCAGGTAGCACGATGCCACTGAGCTACATCCCCAGGCTGGCCTCAAACTCACAGAGATCTGTCTGCCTCTTCCTCTTGAGTGCTGGGGTTAAAAGCATGTGCCATCACTGCCTGACCTTAAATTTTATTTCTAAAGCATCCTACAATGCTTTAGATTTTGTTT